AAAAAATATTCTAAAACTTAAAGCTAGAAAAAGAGTGGGTTTCCACAACAAATGAAAAGAATGAACGCAAAATTAAAATCAGTAGGGACTAACATTATTGATGCTTTCAGCTGGTTAGGCCTTTATATGTTAAAGTTTTGTTTTTGTTTTTTTTTTGGGGGGGGGGGGGTTACTCAGTAAATAGGTAATGTGTCGAATTGTGTTTTTATTAAATATATATTTTTAAAATAATGATTTAAAATGCTACTTGTGAATATTTTCTATCGTTTTACTTATATACCAATCAATAGTATGCAAACGATTTGCTTCCTCAAGTTTCGCATCGTTTGCACACATGGTCGATTCTTCTTCGTCTAACGGTTCACTAGCCTAGGGATCAAAACGAGATGGTTCTACTCCCACATTTTCTATATTATTCCATAGCAATGAATCCTCATGAAAACATGACAAGAAAGTTCTAACAAATCTTCCTCTAATGGACTATCAAAATATCAGAAACTGTGTTTTCTGTCTATCAGTTGAGGGAAGCGAGACACACTTGTGACGTCATTTAACTTGATTGCATTTAAACCGGAAGTGATGTTGTCAAGGAATGTCGATCGTTTTCACAGGTGCAAATACAGAAGTTCAACGCTGATTATCTTTGAAACGGCGGGACCGATTTTAGTCCGATTTTTGCCAAAATGTTTTTTGAAACAGGTTAAGTGAATTACGTTGATGAGTAAAAGTACCATGGCCTATCTTTAAAACGGTATTTTAAATAGTAAAGGGCTATTAAGAATATCGTCTAAAAAAATTGTTTCAATGTAAAGAGAATTATAAATTACTTTTATAGCAATAAGTTGCGAGTGGTATAATGGTTTCGACACGCCAGTTAGTCCATCAGTCCTATTTATTTATTCATTTAATTATTCAATTATTTATTTATTATTTATTTATTTTATAAGCACAGCTCTTCTTTAACAACTGCATAGAATTTCATAGAACTTTGTAAATAATTAGATCACAATGTAAAGAAGTGCATATTACCTGGAAATTCTAATTTCTTGATTCCTGAAATTTAGGCCCTTTGAACTAAAAATGTTGACCATATATTGAATATAGAGATGAAATGTTTGTAAGCACAACCCCTCTTAAGAGGGCTGGGGGTCGTGGCCATTTTTGGACTATATTGCTTTCCTCTAGAAAAAGAGCTCTAGATATATTAAGATAAATAAAAAAACTAATAACATTTAATAGCTTAGATATATGAATTTTTTCTTTATAAAATAACAAAATGACGTTCATAGTAAAGCGTTAAAATGACGAACGAATCGATACCGACGTAATTTAAAGGAAATGGGATTAAGTACTTGATGTGGTTTCTTTAGAAACACCATTCGTATCCTTAATAAAATCCCTCTCTAAAAAAGGAAGAAAAAGTAGATTTTTCTTTAATTTCTTTGATTTTATATGAAACTCGTATCTGTAATCCATATTTGTCCAACAATATTCTTTATCTTTTTATGGTTACAGTTATTTATGCTACATTCGCATTACTAGATCACGACCCTATCTTAAAATTAAAATTTAGCTACATAATGTAAATATTGTATTGTTTTCCTTTTTAGAAAAATAATTTTGATCCGTTTCGATCCAAAAATTTGCTTTTCAAACACAAACAAACTCTAAAAATGTGGTAGATTTTCCTCTACCCTAGTTGAGTTATTTCCTCCTGTTTGCCGAACTGTTATGAAGACACATTTACAATGAATTTTATTACCTAACTTACTTTATACATGTACATTGTAGTAAGGCATTTTGAACTGTTTCATGATTTATTTTATGTTTTTCTGTGATCACGAAACAGTCGAACTGTTGACCGGGCCACAGAATGAACTGTTGCCTGATTAAAGCGTCATCGTGATATTCAAGCATCTTGATGATCACGACCTCACTATTTACCTGCTATATAATTAATCAAATTGAAATAAAACACACAAACAATCAATCTATCATTTTATTAAGTATTACTTTAAATGATTAAATATTAATTTAATCTTTGTATTATGTATGTGAATAAACATAGACAGGACTTTCCGTAGTCAAATTCGGTATACAAAACAGAGGCCTAACAAATGATATGAAACAAGTCAGTCAAAAAACAAAACAAAACAAAACAAAACACTCCATCGTAGGTTATATTTGCAAACAGAGTCTTGACAACGACTACTAAATTTACGAAATGTCGACTTTAAAGAAGGTAATTGAAATCTCTGTAACATGAACTTATGAATGATTGCTTTTGAAAATTCCTGATATTCAGAGATATCTCTTGAGTAGTGAATAAGTTGGGAGACATAAAGACTATAAGCACATGATAGTGGAATATCATTACATAAATCAGGAACTTTGACGAGGGAAAAGCTGAAGTCATCTCGTGTGTTATTGAATTTCTTTTTGGATTGTTAATTGTTAAATGTTTTATTTAGTTGTTTACAAAAATGGTGTTCGGTTTGGTATTGTATTGTGTCACTTGGGTACATAAATGTGCTGGATCTTATTGTATTAATGTAAGGTTGAATAATTAAATATTTAAATATTTTTCTGGGTTCCAAACCGGAAGCATTTTTAAAGCATGATAAATAACTCCGCAGCTACGATAAGGTTGTCCGTAAAATATCAAACTATTCAGACTGTAGTAACTTCTCTGAACAAGCTAGATATGACGTCATAATAGAATATAATAGAATCACTGCATACTTGATACATGACGAGGAAAGTGTCATAATTTGTATATGGCATGTAGATTTATTTTAGGGTCTTATTGTTAAATTCATTTATTAGGATTGTTTTTAAGCTCCAATGTGCTGATATGAATTTAAAATTTGAAATCTTAAAATCCCTATTTCTTTCGCTTGTCGGATATGCACATCTTTAAACAATAGAGAAAAAGTATGTGTGAAAGGCTCCCCTTCCACGTCCGTAGACAGAGTTAGAATTTGAGAATAGTGTTTATATTAGAATGGCATAAATGATAAACAAAACAAATGAAAGATATATTATGTGAATCTACACGAGAAGTATGTCCTGTACATGTACATGAATTTTTCTGGGGCATTGTGTTTAGTTTATCCATTTTTGTAGAGATCGCGATAAAGAGTGGAAAACACCCCTCTTATGTTCGTAAGTTGAATTTCTTGTAAAAATATTTTCTTACCGAGTAAAAATTAAACCTGCCTCCAGCACTCTTTATGTACCAGAGATCACAATGAGTTTTTCCAGTACTTTTGTTCTGCACTTGTGCCGAAGCGATTTTTGTGCATCATTAAGGAATATCATAAATCTCCGTCACTTGGTCAACACAGTCATGTGACATCACAAATAAAATTTATTATAATACCTGATTTACCTATTATCTGAAGTTGACTGCAATTCCAAACAAGGATAACATATTTAAGTTAAAATCCAAGTCAAAATAAAATGTATATTTTAAGGCATTTTAAGCCTTCCGACAGCCTTATCATACATGTAACTGCGTCGATAGTGTTAGGAGTTTAAAGAAAAATTACTCCCCATTTTTATCTTACCTTTCCAACACCATTTCAAAGAAAGAAATTGAATTTTATCTGGCAACGGTTAGTATAGATTTCTATTCCTTATCATCAATAAAAGCAAGAATGAACCTTAATTACATATCACGGTTTGTTCCCGTTTTGCCCACATTTGAATTGCAGGTAATTAAACAATGTTTGAAAAACGGGAATGTGACCAAGTAAGATAATTACTTAATTGCTATAGTCTATACCATACTTAGCTTAGTAAGTATGTGAAAGGTGAACTTATAGGGAAAAATCAGAGAATAAATACAAAGTGAATGTATTTGATTATCTGATGATCTTATTAAACATCTTCTTGGCTTGGGCATTATTTTCAAATTACTTATTATTCACTATTTTCTTTATTATACATGTTTGTTATATCTTTAATGCATTTAGAATTTTATCAAGATTGAAAAGTACGTATTCTTTCATTAAGAAATTGGACTTAATAATAAATAATATTAAACAAATATTAATAATTTATTAAATAAAATCAAATATTTTCACATAAATATATATAGAATTTTAATAAAATGTATATAAAATTGTATTAATTAAAACCTCTTCAGAATACATTAAGCTAGATCAGGTATTCACAGGTAAATCCAAACAAGAAATCGGACTATAATTTCTATCAAAACACACTTCACACCTATTGTTCTATACTAATTACCAAATGTGTGCAAACCGGGAACACACCCATATCACATATATTTGATTGATACTTTAATATTTTTCATCAAGGAGAAATATTTTCAGCGATCATTCTTATAACACAGGTCATGCTAAAAATATTTTTATGGTTACATGTAATAAGACATTAAAATAAAAAAAAATTAAAAAAAACATTTGTATTGATTGAATGTTTCACTTTATGGCTTATTTGTAATATTTATGCCAAGATATGAAGGCAAGAATTTACATTCAACGTCGTCCTTTGTTATGAGTCAAGAACATATAGTATTATCGTGGCAAACTATCCATTAAAGCCTAAAATGATATCACTGCATAATGTCCAAGATATTGAAGAAAAGATTTACATTGTTAAACAAAAATGTATACATGTAATAAATAATAAATACATTTTACTACAATCTAGGTAGATATCTTTGAATTGTTCCTTTTTCTTATATGGACCATAATCCATTTTAGTTATTCATGATAATAACAAATACATTAGGCTATAATAATGTCATTGCTTTAAGTGTTTGGTACACTATTATGCTGATAAATATGTAATTTACCAACACCAGCAGCTTAAGTTTTAAGATTCAATTTAATCCATGATTTCACGTTTCAATTTCATTTCGTTAACGTTCGAAATAAACTGATTGTTTATAGCAAAACATTTGCATGAATTGCTTATTCTTCGTTCATTTTTTAATCATTCGTGTGAATTTATATATGTTTTTTTTTCAGATGGCTATCCTCCAACAGGATAAGCATAATTCAAAACAATGTCTTTAATGGTTTGCCAAATTTACTGGAACTGTGAGTGTTTTGTATGTGTGAAAATTTTCAATGTGTCAAATTCGAAAAAAAATGTTACCCTTGTGTCAAAAATGAGCAAGTTTCATTTAAAAAGCCTTTTCCTGTGCTGTAGCTTTATAAATTTGCAGAAATTAAAGTACCTAAGATCAGTGATGGGTATATCAACAAAACTTAAGTGTTCCAAGGAAAGGGCGTGTCACGTGATTTATATCATCATTAAAGACGCAAATAAATTTTATAGTAGAAAACTTTTTTGTTACACATATTTTTTTTTATAACAGTGTATTTGCCTGTGAGGAAAAATAAACATGCATAGTAAGACTAATAGAATCAGAAATATGGTTCTCCCACATTGAAAGCTAAAATAAATATTGAAAATGAAATCATTCGAATTTTATCACAATTCTCCAAAAGAAATTTTAGACTGTCTTTACTGCAATTTTCAGTTTAGAAATATCCATTTTGGTATACCGATCTCGATTTATTTTCATAATATTTAAATCTCAGTTTGTGTGGTAAATAAAGTGTACTACTTTCAAAGTAAAGTGTAAGAAACTCATAAACATGTAAATTAAATCAAAACATTGCCTCTTAAAAATTCATGAAAATAAATTTAACAATACTGGCTATTTTGCCAAGTAAGTCAATTACGGTCAAAGGATCTGTGAAGCTAGCATTTTTAAAATATATATTTTTATGACAAACTGTGCACACTATAAATACCAAAAACTTACCTTTAAGATTATAGGGGCATAGACACGGTTTCAGCTAAAAATAATTTCCTTTATTTTATGTTTACAAATACTTAACTAAGGTATTTCTAATAAACATCAAAATTTTGAATTTCAGTTTTGGAGATACAAGACAGATTTGGAGCTCAAAACCTTTGATATGTAAACAAGGCCTGTTTTCATGTTTTTGTTTACATAGGTTAAATATACCAATATATGATTGTTTAAATAAGAATTTTTTAACAAAGAAGTTCACTTTAAATACGATTAGACAGTCTCTAGTGATTTGCTGAATTTCGATTCATTTTGAAATTTGGTAATTTTATCAATGTAATCAGAAACAAGGCACGAACCTGGTTTTCATTATGGAGGATTTTAAGGGCTGTATCTCCTTTGTCAATCAACAAATGATATTCTTATTTTTGCTGCTCATTAGAATTAGCCTAGTAAGGACTTGCAGACATTAAAATAGATTTTTTTAAATCAGATAAAAGTGTGTCCAAGTCCCTATAAAAAATTTAAGCACTGTTAAATATTTTATAAGTAGGTCAAAGGTTAAGATCACTAGGTTGGAAACTAAAATAATTTCATAAGGAAAAAAACTCACTTGATATGTCGGTAACTAAAGTACTTTCAAAACTTTACTTTAGAATTAAATTACGGTGATATTTGCATAAAATAATTATCTCAGATTTTCTTAATACTGTTGTTCTCCGCCTTTTTAAATAAAATCAATTACAAACCTTAAAAATCCATTTATCTGAAAAAGTTTTACACCTGTACTTTTTTCTATCAATAAAATAAATAATGTTATATTGCAACAATTTGAACAATTCTCAGCTATGTTAAAGAGGGTCAGAGTTCACATTCCTTTGTATACTGTATAAGAAGTTTAATTGTGACGTCATTGAAATTAAACAAGCCACAAAAATTAATTAACGACATGATCATGCGTAAATAACAACTAAAATTTATTTATTTTATTGATTATTTATAAACTATTGTAAAATTGCAATACTTGATAGCAATACAGTCGAGAAATAGAAGAAAATCTTTCGTCAAATATGACGTCATCAGCATTGACGTGACGCAGCATAGGTAATCCAGAGGACTAGATGCACTGATTTAATAATTACAAGAATGCTTAAATAGAGATGATACCATTGCTATTTCTTAAACCTAATCATTAAAATTGAAAGAAAATAATTTATTAAATACAATGTGTATAGAATATGAATTTATCAAGTAGCGATGGAGCTGCACAGGTACAGGATATGTTGAGAATATCACTTAAACGATGAGCGTATTCGTGATTTACATCAAAAGTGCAAGGGCATAGACTATATTTTGTTTGAGCTGAAATTTGGAATATTTTGTTGCTTATGCATGTATAGTGTATATTTTGAAAAGTGCTGGGAGCTGATCATAGTCTGCGTAACATTATTTTTATTTATAAAAGAATTTAAGCAAAATGGAAACTTTTAGCTATTATAAGCGTTTGCAGCAAAATTTTCAGTACATCACAATCTGCACTGACTAGCCCCCAGCACTTTTTTGGCAGAGGAAATAAACATCTTTTATTGTACATCAATCTTATTCTTTTATTAACAGACGTATGCCCTTGCACTATCCCCATTTCCTACATTCAGCTTAACAATTCTATTTTATACAAGTCAAGTGACAAACAGCTGATACGTGCGATATAACTGGTAATAACTACGGCCCAGTCCTATCCATTATTGCTAGCTGTATCACATTTATAATTTAGTATTCAGTTGCTTTCTCACAATTTTTCAAAGAAGTAATACATATTAAAGCGGTGCTTATGTTACATTTTTCATATCGATCCTTTACATAGCTGAGTTGGGATATTGTTTAGACTTTTACGATTCAATGTTTTTACTGTTTATTTATTTATGCATGAGACATATGAAGATTACGACGAAGATTCAAGCTCAAAAGTCCATAAAGAATTGTATGTCTTCGATTGTGCAAATCATGCATGTTGTAACCATTCGATCGCCGTAAATATGAAATCTTCCAATAACGTAAAAAAGACGTCACCTACATCCATCCTGACTAAAACCGCTTCCCCATACTTTTTAGCGACTCCCCTGCGTTTTCCGTTTTAATGGTGATAAGGACCAACTAACAACTAAATTGTAGGACAAACGAAAAGACTTCCTCTATACCATCGTCAGCTTTCCCTAATTCTATCCCACAATAACCTGGATATGGTGTTTACAAGTCCCAGCTTATCCGACATTCGAGAAAATACTCCGAGTATGATCAAGTTTTAAACCGAGGCAGAGTACTGATAGGCCGATTTTCTAGGAAATTTGTCAACCTTGTTTAAAGTCAGTATTTTGTTAATTCTCTGAGCGTTATAATGATTTTGATAGCAAATATAAACGACCATACTGTCGTATTTTGGCCAACGGGATTCTTACCAATTGCTTGGCCTTTTTTATTTTGAATTTGATAAAGAACGGTCTGTATACCTGACCAATACATTGTGCTCACGTCGGGTGATTATTTTCCTGATTACTCCATGAATATTATGATGAGGCACATGATCTCTCCTCTGGAATTTTCAGGGTCCCAGTGTTATATACCTTTCACAGAGTTATATTGTTTATAGTTTTTTGATATTGATCACAGTTCGTGGGTTGATACTAAAATCGACATAAATTTTATTTGCAATAAATCTCACGAAACTTGTAATGTGAATTGTTTAACTACATGTATACGAACTAACAAGGAAACCAACAATTGATGATTGGAGTTCTAGTACTTGTATAGTTCTAAAAATGTTTCGACTGAAAAACATTGTGAAATAACATATTTTCGTTGGAGCAATTTTTCGGGGTTTTAGGGAAAAAAATACATGCATTGATTTGTGGGGATTTCGTTTTGTGGTTGGAGAAGTGTTCGGTAGTAATGCATATTACATTTTATATTTCGTGGTGGTCAAGAATTCGTGGATCTCTCGATACCTCTAGAACTTAAACAATAAAAATTAAACCCAACCAAAACTTGTGGTTTCACAGTATATATGTTGGTCTGCTTGTTGAATATAAAACTATTTCTTTGTAATCAGTACGGTTATTTATTTGAAGTAACAGATTGATTTTTAATTAAGGATAAAGGATTACTTGCATTGCTAACCAAATATAAAAGCATTAGAGGAATCGAATGCATAGCGTCTAGTATATTGAATAATATACTCGTTCTCGTATGTATGAAAATTAAGACAGTTTTGGGCTCCTTTTCTGAAGGATGAATTTTGTTATTCATGTACAGTAAAAAATATGTCAGTTATTTACATGTGCTGCATTTTTTGTATTTTTTTGCAAAAATATTATAATGTATATTAGACCCCGAGGATCTACAGCCCAATAGCTATGTATTTCGGTACTAGCTTGAAAATACGGATGGATATTTTAAATCTAAAATAGATTAATCATTATTCCGACTTTGCAGCTATGTTTGATTTTCATTTAAAAAAATCAAAATGCTTGCAGAAAATTTAGTTATATAATTATTGGAAAAATGTATGTTAGAGATATCCATGTCAAATAAGATATGAACATTAAAGAAATTAACATAAATCACATGTAAACTATCACTTAGACTAATACTTGTAAACATGTTCGGAAATTCTGTTTATTTATTTTAATATTGAAAGCAAAAGACTGAATACTTATAGCAAAAATACTCGATTAAATAATTTATAAAATCTATTTTAGATCGCTGCATTCCAACAAAATAACTACGATTCAAAACAACACCTTTAACGGTTTGCAAAATTTACAACAACTGTGAGTATTTTGTAGTTGCACGAAAACCAAAAGTTAGTGATCAATATCAATAGTAATAGCTGTAAGTGGAGTTCTACCTGCTTGACATGTGCTTTTTACTAAATACTATTAGAACCACAAAATGAAGAGATATTTGTTTGCTACATGAGTCTATGATGAAAAGCATTTTTTGGGGTTCAATGTGTTAACAAGTGGTTAGGTCTTGAATTGTTTCGAAAACATTAATAACAAATGCTGAATGATTTTTCCCGATCACGAAAAGGATAACACGCCGGGTGTCACTGGTCGGTAGGAGATGCTCACTCCTCCATGGCACCTAATCCCATCTCTGATGTTTTAGAGGTCCATGTTTTCTCTGCTCCTGAATTGTATTGTTTGAATATAATGGACGTTTGATATTGATTATTGTTCGGTCCCTTCATATATTTCATTCTTTTAAAACTGAGAGATAAAGGTCCTTGCTTTAGTTTATTGCTGTGTATACATTTAATACTTAAATGTGAGGGATTGATAAAAATGCTCAAAAAACAAGTGAAAAGAAATCTTTCCAGAAAGAGTAACGTCTGCTGAAATCTTATGGATATTGTATGTTTGTTTATATTTTTAACGTAAGCCGATTCGTGTCTGTTAGTTGTATTTTATTGAAGTAATGATGCAAAAATTAATTACTATAAATTGAATTAAAAGTTCATTAAAATGTTGTTCTAAAATGCATTTGTAATAATGAGTCTTACAAAGACCTTATTGTTACCTGCTTTAAGATAGATCCAGTATTGATAACAAATTGAATGTGGCATCAATATTATTTTCTACAGTATTTTATAATTATATCTCAAGCACAAGCATTGGACAAAAAAAGAATCCCTTAAATGTGTGTGCATAGATGCAATCATGGGTATTCTGCATACAATGATTGTTTGTACTAGTATTACACGTAGATTACACGACGTATTTCTGAGATTTGATTACGTGAAGCAACTGGAATTAACGAAATTTTGTTGGTGCAAGGTGCATATTTAATGGGATTTTCTTTTGGTGTCCATTTTTGGGCTCAGCTGTAACTCATAAAAATGTGTGAATTTTAAAGCACGTATTGCTAGTTTTGCAACTCGGTCTCCCGATTTCAAATCTAGTAATTGTATACCTTAAAATTTTGTGTATATATGAATTTGATACATGAAATATAATTTCTGATTTCGATAGTAACGAAAGATTTTTTTTTTTTCAAAATAAAAAGCTTATTTTAATTAAAATTCAGTTGTGATCACAAGCTCTAATATGATCAATCTTTTCATTCTTAAATAGCTTTTTATAATAGGAGGTAGGAATCCAAAAGCGTAACAACGGACGGACGTACAGAAAGACGGACGAATGTACGGATGGAAGGGAGGACAACACATCACTACATACATGTACCACTTGCTTTTCAAGCTGGTGGTATAAAATCACCCTGGAGGCATAATTTACAAAGACTTGGAATGAAATCAATTCCGACAATTCAGTATATATACCCATGTCTTATATGGTGTAATATTTATACAGCTCTAATTTTGATACACCAGATACCATTTCAGCAAATTACAGTCCCTGAAAGGTTCTATTTTCCCATTTTCGTTCGCCCACCGTTCGTTCACCGTTCGTTCAGCCTGCCTTCTTGTTTGTTTACACGAAATCCACGTGCCTGTCTTGTCAATCAAAATCGTTCGACACTGTGCAGGTGTGAAGGTTTCGTCACAAGGAAAACGAAGTGCGAGTATTTCAAACAATATACAGTAAAACTTCTCTAAACCGGCCAGCTGCCGGAATGAATAAAATGGCCGGACTAGAGGGGTGGCCGGTTTCCCAAGAATCTAACATACTGAAGAATTGCATAACTAATTTGTGACAGATGCTAGGAAAAATATGTATTTGATGTCTGTAATAATTATCCGTCAACATGTTATTAATTATCGGCAGACACGTAATGTATTCTTATAAGGTCAAAAAATAGATTATTATTATTATTGAGGATAAATTCGTCATACATGTTGATTAATATAGAAAGAAGTTAAAAAATAGAAGAGAAAAATACATGGAAAGTTACTTTATTAACCATATGCGAAGAAATAAACCAGGATCCTTTACCTGAATTCTATACAGTATATACTGCATTTATCTATGTATCGCTTACGTCATTAAAACAATTGTACCTCAGTGAAATTTACCTCAGTGAAATTTAAGTAAATTATAACATTTCTGAGCAATACTTCTTTTATTTTAATTAAAAAAATTATATTTACGTAAACATTTTACTAGTATTTTTTTTCTTAGCATTATGTATCTATAAAAAATTTTAAGGCCGCTTAGGTGTATTTAAAAAGATGATGCAATATGGCGTGCGATAATTTGTTGATTCATTCTGTGATTTAAATTTATTAGTTGCTTGATATTTTATTAATTCAAGTTTAATTTTTTTAATCATAATTATGTACACAACTAAGAACGGCCATTTACGTAGTCTGGCAAGATGATTACCCCTTCTAGATCGTTAAACAATAGAAAACCCTATGAAACCATATTCAGTTTTTCACTCCTCTGACTTCTGGAGGGTAGGCTATTTTTCACACCTCCGGCCGGTCCTTTTTACCCCTCCGGCCAATGACAATTAATTTCTTGCAATCAAAAAGTGGCCGGTATGATGAGGGGAAAGAGCCATAGCGCATTTGATAGTCACTTACGCCTACACTAGTAGTGATATTTTAAATACGTTGTTTAACCAAAATTGTGTCATACAATGTTAGTTTATACATGCCTTAAAGCAACTCACCGAAAAATAATACTCAATTATTAACATTTTCCTCTTGTGATAGTTATAAAAATCGTTCAGTTTATATGGAGAGTACAGTAAATACTGAGGTACCCAACTAAACAATGAAAACTCTAGGAAAAGACCACCCTTAACCAGAAAAACAACTTCTGAATAATTTTATTTGGATATGACTGAACTTTATTACGTTTAGATAATTTTGGTTAAAGGTGGTCTTCATATTGAAAATGTTGAAAATACGTATTTCATTTTTCTTCTAAAATTATTTCAAAATTCAACAATCTGTCTTAATTTTAGCGATTCGATAACCAAGACTTCGTGGCATAGTGGTATGGTTGCTGGAATGAAGACATAATGATCATGAGTTCGAGTCTCACAATGCGTGTCACTTAATAACGATTTTTTTTCTCTGTGTGGATTTTCCTGTGTTTTCTTTTATTATTTTAAAATACATACAAGTATAAATAATTTTTAAAAGAGATATATACAACACTACACATTGAAAGTATCTTAAGGGAAAAACAGTCTTAAACTATTTTAATGAATCAAAGTCATAGCTGATAAACTTTTTTTTTTAATTTTCAAACAATCTTGTTTAGAATAAGAGTATTGAACAAGTAAAATTACTGTCTTGCAACAAACTTGCAACAATGAAAATATAACACTGGTTCACAAATGATTAGATACATGTGGATAGATTGTGATTTGAAAATGTACATGTATCTATAAATAGTAACAGGTGATTTACTTTTAAATACTTGTGTAGGCCGAGTTGTCGGTAAGGCAGCTATGGCTCTTTCCAATGTTTTTTTAACTTTTGTTCTTGGAAAAGTGGCCGGTGTCCGGTTTTCAGGGGTGGCCGGTTTTATGAGATTTTATGTGTAAAGAAATGTAAAAAAATTCGACCGGGACTAAAAAATTTGGCCGATGTTCAGGGAGAACCGGTTTCCAGTGGGCCGGTTTGGAGAAGTTTCACTGTATATGATTCTGACATCTGAATAAAAAATAAATAAATAAATAAATAAAATACATCAATTGAATTTGAAACATATTCTCTGCCAATATCAAATACCACCGCCGACACGTGTACATTTTGAACTACTCTTATTTTTGACTCATTTAGATGCAGGCTTTGAGAATAAAATTTTTGTTTTAAAACAGACCTTAACTTTTTTAAGAATGTTATTTAAGATGTCCTAGAAATACAGTACTAGCTACGTATCCGATTTATTACGGGGGAAAGGTGGGGGGGGGTATTAAACGTTTTAACGGCAAATATAGAAAGTTACGGCGAAAAAAAATTAATCTTTGCTATAACTATAGACTTTATACATTATAGTAAACGAAATTCTTCAGTACATTACATTCTAAATAAATATATCCTTTATTTAATCGATCTATTTAATTCACTCCAAAAATAATAACTAAACAGGATATCTGCAGTACTATGTATAACTTTCGGAACTAGTTCTATCATATTTTCTGTAGTTGAAAGAAAACGTGTTAGAAATAAATATTTTCGTAATTTTTCTGCATAATATTTTACTTGGATAATTATTTCTCCATTAATGATTTGTTGTCTTTAAGAAAACAGCACAAAATGTTGCAGGATTTGTACGTTTCCCTTAGTTAAATTCAACATTTCAGTACCTACAAAGGAACATAATGTACTGGAAACAATATCTATTTACATGAGAAATTTATTGAATAACCTAATAGCTATGTTAGAATAATTAATATATATATCGTAGATATTTCCCCCATGAAAAAATGATTCTCCAAACACGATATGTTAGATATTAAATTAAAAACCTGTAAATAGATACCTACAAAAAGATAAGTCCTTTTACTTCGGTGTTCCGAATGACAATGAAAACTGAACGATGGGTGAACGCTGAATGCAAGGTGAACACAAAGTGAATGGAACAATAAGCGAACACTGAACGATTTGTGATTATTTCAATCATCTTATTCGAAACATTAATTTCCTTTTCGAAATATTCTTTCCTAAGTCATTTATCTTTTATATAAAAAAACCATATCTTTCCAATTTAAAGAGGTATGTTGCAACCAATATTGAAATAACGACCACTATTGAAATAATTATATCAATAGTGGTTGAGAGTGCATTTCAATAGCAAACATAGTTAGAAACCACTATTGAAATACAACCACTTTTGAAATAATTATATCAATAGTGGTAAAGAGTGCATTTCAATATCAAACATAACTAGTAACCACTATTAAAAT